AGCATGATCATCTTTAGGCTGCACAGTCCCCCGGAAGGGTTTAACCCTGAGTTCCGAGTCCACTCAGCTGCCCTACAGTACCCAAACATTAATGCGACTCGCTCCTCCTCCGAATTAACCGCAACTTGGGATCTGACGCTACTTGCCAAAAATCCCAACCACAAGTGGGACATCGACTGCGACAGCCTGCAGGCCTTGCTCTTCTACAGACCCGGCGGCTACCAACATATTAAGGAGCGGCCGCAGGAGGACAAGGAGAAGGAGAAGGAACTCGTGGTGCTCGCTGCGACGTCCTTGGTCCCTTTGGTTTTATCCACGAGGAACCAAATAGGTATCAGTTTCAAACTCCCCATGCTCAGGGCTTACATGGCCAATGACGTGGTCAAAGAAATCTCGGATGGCAACACCACAACTTTGTCGCTCAGGTTCGGGCTTAAGCTTTCGGTTTGGTCTAGGTATAGGGCTCGGTTGATGAGCGACCAGAAAACTCCCTTGTCCAGATTTGCGAGCTACTTTTGCGACCAGATTCATGTTCGCGTTTCTTCTGATAATAATCATATTAATGACACTGGGAATTTGAAAATAATAACGAAAGCTCATCAGTCAACGGCATGCGATATGAGCAGTGAGATGTTTGATTAGGATCAATTTGCAATAAGGTTTTCAGTTTTAGTATTTGTGTAATTTTCTAAGTTTAATGTTTCGACGAAGAAGTTTACTGTTTACTATGCGTTACTTTAGTTTGCTATTTTAATTTCAGCCGATGTGGGATTTGATTATTGCACCCTCATTTGGATTTTAAGCAACTTGTCTTTGGTAGTTACCTTCCCTTATCTAGTTTGTAGTTTCTTGAGTTTTCTAGAATTATGTAGTTACATCTACACAAATATGCATTACTTTTTCAACACCTTGACTATGAAATTTGAAAGCAGGCGGGAGAATGTAAACACACACATGTTTGAAATTAGGATGCTTCTGGTTTCAAGGGATGCAATGGGCTTCCCAGCTTCCTCCATCTATGGTGCTTCTACTTTCAAGAGATGGTCTTCTAGGCCCCCTTGGTGATCTTTTTTTATGTTAATATCTTTTGTATATTTCTGTAAGCTTTTTGTTGGCCTCATGGATTTGTTTCTACTATGTCTTTGCTTGCCTGGGTTCTTTGGGTTTCCTTATTAGAGTTCTAGCTAGGGTCGTTTACCTGAGTGTATTTATCCACGTTGTACTTGTGTATCCTTCTTCTATTGCTGGAGGACTCGTGTAAAGTAATGAGCATTATATTATGTATCTGAGGTTGACCAAATTTCTATCTCTTTGCATTTGGCCTTTTATATGGAATAAATTTTGGAAACAAGATAATTAAGGGGAAGAAACAAGAGCAATATTGGGATGTAACTACCTTGATGAAGGTACAATAATTTAACTAACAACGACAAGCTGATGCACCAAATCGTATATAAAAAGTGCATATTATTAATTTAAAATACACATTCTTGTGAATATTAAAAGTAATATATGAATGGGAACTAATGGCTTTAAGTGTATTACATAAATGATAGGGTGTTATTAAATAGGTACTCATACAATGGGAACTGATATTGAACCAACGTGAACTACTATATTTTTGCGTTTCTAAGGGAGAAGATACTAAAACTTAGATCTGTCTTGTTTGAAGAGTACACAATTGCAAACTTATATGTCATGATTAGTGACTAATATAATAGACACCATTCCAAATATCAGATCCCAAGCTTGAAGCAATTGAACATCGCTTGGCTTAACTCAAATGACTTGTATCTTAAAAGTTATTTCTTTAATGGAAAATAGGGAAGGACTGACTCAATAAATGGTACCCAAAAAACAATAGCAACCCCAAACTAGGATACTGATTTAAAAATAGCGGCTGCATAGTCTCTATTGGTAATGGAGACAATTTATTGTCTCAAAACTTAACTTAGGGGACAAATCTGGATCAGTACATAGTGCATGTTTTTTTAGTAGTGATGGCAGTCGAGGCTAGTTACAATAAAATTGATGAACTATTGCAGCAAAAGCAAGGGTGGAACCACACTAAGGGCTACAGTGGGCTACACCTCTCATCACAAGAAAAATCATTGTAGGTGCTTCGAATTGCCCTTTTGCTTAGCTGGTGGTTGTGCACTCCAGGTGTACAGGTTACCTTATTTCCATTTTCAACATTTAAGTAAATGTCTTTGTTCTTTTACTTTCATTTATTTTTATATTACTCCATTTAATTAGAGTGGTGATTTCCCCACTCCTTTTTCTCCTATTTTATCCACTTACACTCCTTTTTTA